TATAGATCTTTGAATTTGTTTTAAAGATGGTTGGCTTTGTTTATGTCTTAGGAGACTAGCTTAGTTGTCAACATAAAAGGAGCCAAACAAAATTGGATAAATCATGCTATAAAGTTAGAAATTTTATTCTCTTTTAAAATAAGGAAGCTAGACCTCTGAGAAGGGGGTTTCTGATTTTACCTAGAGTGGCACTAAGTCTTGTTGAAAATCTCTGGTGATAGAAATTCCTAAATAATTTTTAAAGAGATATTTTCCAATCCAATTTTCTTTCAAATATTCATTAATAAATAACTTTAAAGATACTCCCAACCCAGGTAAAAAATATTGGAAGAAAGCCAAAAGAGAAAAAGAGAGGGGTACCTAACAAAAAAAAGCCATTCCAAAATTACAACTGAAACCATTCTATGAGGTCACATAAATTAACGTAAACAAAGGCAAGGCTGATTTCTACTATAAATTTGTCTTCTCCTGAATCCTTCTGATCAATATACATTATCTTAAAAAAATTTAACTGGCCTCACACATCACAAAAATGAGTTATTGAACTGGCATGACTATTACCATGGTAATGAGTAACACAAGGAAAGGAATGGCATCATTAGCATGTTGAATACAAATATTGTCCAAAATATAACTTATATTCCTTTGAAAACTTTAGTTCTGCCAGAAACTTATGAGATGTAATAAAATGACACACTAGAGCTGGCTTTTCTTGAATTATAAATGTCAAGTATCAAATTAAAAAAAAAATTACCCTGTAGAGTGATATATTTATCACAAGTGAAAGTAGTCAACAACGTGATTTAAGTCCTTGAAATTACCTCATTTTCTATGAATGTAACAAGCACCTGTATTTACTGAAATTCCAAGCCACCTGTTAATTAGATTACAAAAACTGCACGCAGAAAATGAACTCGTTTAGGCTTTGAATCTATATAATCCTGCTTCCCATCCTTCTGTCTGAGTCACCACTGTCAGGATACAAAGTTCAAGACACGACAGTTACTATCCAGACAATACAGTTAGACTAACTCCAGGACTGCTCACCAGTAACACCCAGCTTTTGAGTTTGAATTTCTGAAAACACAAGAAAAACAAAATACAAGACCTGTATTGGTTAGGAAGGGGGAATCTCATGGTCTCAGTTGAAAGATAGGAAAAGAGTTAAAGTAAAATTTAGAAAAGTGACTGTTTTAAAGAGTCACACTGAATCTGCAGATTGGCAAGTAAAATATTAAAGAGCTCCTTTATTTCCATATTTACCATTTGTTTCCATACTACTTCTGACAAATAGTCTGTCATTGGAATATAAAATGTGTTTAAATCTTAAAAAATGGTTTCTTTAGCATGTTCCAGCTGTTCTTATCTTTTAAAGCATCAAATGATTGTTGGATAGGAAGATGGGATTGGTACGAACGGTGGGCAGCAGGCTGAGCACCACCAGAGCTGTTCAGTGTCCACACTGTGGCTGCCCTTCTAGAATCTGGGCTGCCATGTGTGAATCTACTTTTTTCTATTATAGTAACATTTTAGTTTTTCATCTCTGCTGAAACTTGTGGTTTCAAGGATACACCATCACTTATTACGTTTATATTCCATCCTCACCCCACCCTGACACTTCCATAATTCTAGTGAGGTTTCAAAATGCAGATGATTCAGTTAAATTTAGTCAATTAAATTATCCAATGCTACATAACACATCTGATGAGCTGTGCTATTTGTGCAAAGCTGGAGCATTTGGCTTAGGCATTTAAGTTTCCCTTGCACACGTTAGTAGATCTCAGAAAGAATAATGTAATCAGAAGTCATAATTTGTGTTAGAAGCAGGAGTAGTGATTAAGGCTTTAAACTTTTGGCTCTGGTTGTGGTCAGGATCTATGGAGAGTTCCGGTTTCAAATGACAGTACAATCTTGCCTTTGAAAGCACGCCAGTACTCCCCGTTTGAGTTTGGTATTTTATACACTGACTACAATAATGAGTCTCTAAACTCTCTGTGAGAGAGAAGGAGCAGATGCCATTTGAAAGAGGAAGATTAAGTCATATTTGGAGAAATGGAAGGCTTTGTGGCACCTTCTAAATAGACGGTCTCCTGTTGACTTCTGACGATGTCAATTTTCCACCTGCTGATTTGATGGTTTGTAACCCCAGCAAAGGTGAGAGGGCAGAATGACCTTTCTGTTTTCTAGGAGCTGCAAGGCAATGCCTTTGAAACTTGGAACTAGGGCTTTGCTATTTTGATAGGCTGTTTATAAACAGAAGTGTGATTGCGTTCCCTATTGCTGTTTCAAAGGTTTCCTGAAATGCTTCCTGCCTTCTGCATGAGTCAACCCGCCTTTGAAATTGTCTAGTAGGAGCTTGCTGGTATAAATTTAGCATCACTTATATGGGTCTCACACTGAAAAAGCAATTAGCTGAAAAATCTCTTTTTCATTCGATTCAGTTATTCTCACTGGGTCCAGATTTAATTCATAAATGTCAGATAAGAGGAAAGGAGGAGGATACAGGAAGTCTCATTAATTTAGAAAATAAGAAGTTTCCTTTTAGCTGCAGTTTGCATATAACTAGACAAGAATTGATGTCCCACTGTCTATCACTTTATAAAATCACAAATTAAAAAGATTATTTCATGCTACTTTTTATCATCATAACCTTTAGAAATTGTAACGGTTTCCCCCCTGTTTTTTACCATCTCTAACACAGTAGATGTTCAATAAATATTTGTTGAAAGAAAGAATTGTTACTTAATAAATTCTAAATATCACGACCAAAGGGTTATATAAACTTGTACAACAATATCAGAACTTTAATTAAAGAACCAGTGATATATCATATGCTCTTCTGCTTAGTGGTAACCAAACCAGATTTTTGCCCAGAAGTCAGCTGAGTGTAAAAATTTAAAGAACATAATCGCTTATCATCTCTTTGCTTCTGGATTAACTTGTGGCCTGTGTGTCTGTAACTCATAGTTGTATATGTGTGTGTGTGTGGGGGGGGGAGTGGAGGGGGGATGTGGCTATTGCTGAGTTATATATGGTTGTGAAGATTTTATCACTTTAATAAGTATTAATTTCACATTTTATATGTGGCTCACACAATAAGAAAAATATAGTTTTATCACAAAGAAAAGATTGCCTTTTGAAAAGTAACTATATTATTCAATTAACCAAAAGACATGAGACAAGCAGATTTTACTTATGTCTTAATAATCAATGTTCAAGAGATGGGGAGACCTTAAATGAATCTCTTTCATTGACTTCTTTCTCTCATAAAAGAACCCTAGAATGTCAAAGAAAATGAAAGCTGCTCCAAGTCACTTGACTTGCAAATCAGTTTGGCCTGGATTCTAACTGGGAATTAAGCTCCAATAAAAGGTAGAGGGCTGGTGCTAAAACAACAGGGACCAAAGCAGGAGGCTTTGCCCTTGACAGTGAATGACTAAAGAGCTGTGTGTCAAAAAAGGCTATAATTTGGTTAGATAATGCTATGGGAGCAATGAAAGAGCTGCTGGTCTGGTTAACGTGGCTTGGTATAATGATCTTAAGTATCCCCACTGTCTGTGTCTAGCTTGATCCCCATTTTAAAAAGCTTTCCTGGTATGTGGGCAGTATTTGTTGAATAGAAGGGCTATTAATGGGGAAAAAAGTCAGATAGAACACTGTGCTCTCTCAGCTTTTCTGGGAAAGGAAGTAACAATGAAATGATTCCGTCAATAACATTATTTGCAACTTTGAGTCAATCTTTTCAAACTATAGCTTTAGAAATTATACTTTTTTCCAAATCACATTTTTAGATCATAAAACCCAACCGGATTCTAGGGTAGGGAAAATTCAGATCTCATTGACCATTGCCTAAAATCTACTATTCTCCAGTGTGTGTGTGTGTGTGTGTGTGTGTGTGTGTGAGAGAGAGAGAGAGAGAGAGAGAGAGAGAGAGAGAGAGAGAGATATGAGGGTGTTTTAATAGGTAATCTGTGTAGGCAGCTTATGGGAGATGTTTAGGGGTTAGGTTATGTACATAAAAACTTGGAATGGATGGAAGGCTAATCCTTCTGTGTAGCAGTGACTTTTATCCCCAATTGGACAGATAGGGAAATAAGCTCTGGGGTGTGTGTGTCTGTTTGCTTGTTCCTAGGTTAAGCATCCTTTTAGAAATGAAACTACAAAACAGAGACCAATGAAACATAACCAAGTAGGCATCAGCCTTCTTGGGAAAAATGAAGCTGAACGGAATTAAATATCTATCCTTTCAGGAAGTGGACTGACATTCTATACCCTTCAACTCTGCCCCAGCCAGAGTCGCCTCTTCCCCACTTTGCCGCACTCTGTGTTCCAAGAATAAGCTGAGTGCTTCCCATGTAAATACTGCAAGGACTTGCAACTGGTCCAGCAAATATGGCACATGTGATTCTTTTACGTGCTTGAATAAGGAACAATAGCCTTTCGTCAGTATCTCTTTGGGTCTGTGCTCTTTGCATTGTATTGGTAGGGGGGGAAATTTGAAGATCAAACACGAAAAACAGTAACTTTGTAGACATACCCTATATGCTACTGATCAAGCAAAACCTCAATCAGATTACCAAGGGGCTTATCACTCAAAAGGAATATCCCTGCCTTCCTTACTTTACCTCCAAAAAGAATAAACCCAAAGATCCTTTAACGTTAATATTAATGGTTATAAATTTGGCCCATTGGTGGGTAGAGAAGGGGCAGGTACCAACCGCACGGCGGAGAGCTGCAAGTAAACACATTTTCCCCAAGTCAAGTTTTAGTAGAAACTTTTCCATTGGAGGACTTTAGATCAAACATTTCCAAGTTCAGTGAAGTAAGATGGTATTTTTTAAGGAACTGAGATCTACGACCTATTTATGTCCATATTTCTAAACATCCACGTCTAAAAGACAGAAAAAATAAGTAGCAATGCAGTCACTGAATAGCAAGGCATGTCCACATTTCAAAGAGGCAGAAACTGAGGTAACAATAAGTCCAAAATATGAAACAGATTTAGCGTAGTCATAGTGTATTGAAAAAAAGAAGGGAAAACACTCTACTTAGTTACCTAAATTAATTTACAGGAAAACAGGATCTTAGAAGTCCTCCGACGAGCCATGTATAGATAATCTAAAGGTAGGGAGTGCTTGTTTTATTTCTAACTGTCCCCTTTAACAAGAGAACGTGAGGTAATTAGAAAGTATTCAATGCTTTCTGGACTGTTCTGTTAAATGTCCCAGGCAAGATAAATCAAAACGCTGCAGAAAAGTAAGGCCTAGTTGAGTATTTGGGTAGAGGCCCCTGCTTCGATCAGCTAGTCACTAAATGGAAATCTCATTATACACTCATCCTGTAGAGATGGATTGGTCTCGCTGTAGAAAAGGCTGGTTGCTGAGGGTGTGTCTCTTCCATGTTCCTCAGCCTCTTCTGCGTTTACAGAGTTAGGTCTTCAGAGCCGCGAAGGAAAACAGGTCATTTTTCCTTCACAGAATACCATTGGATGATTCCTCTATATTAAGTATATGAACCTTATCAGAGTTACAGATTTAAAAAAAATTGTTTTAAAATTTGTCATCTCAAAGAGTTCTCAGTCCCCACCCCTCACAAGTTACCATGAAGGGGCACTAAAGTGCATTTTGATGTAGGGGAGTAGAGTTTAAAAGTGCTGTCCAAGGTAAGAACCAAGATGATGCTGTTTAAAAAAGAAAGGCAATTCCTTCTACCTCCATCTCTGGAGTCAATTGAGGGAGGGCAATGAACTAGACCCTCCCCAAAGGATTGTCCTAACTCTTAACTGGAGAGAAAACTGTGTAAGGACCTGCACATATAGACTCATTTATTTGTCCAAAATAGCAAAAATAGGCCTATTTCACCCTTAAGAAAGTATTTGCAAATTTGATCAGTTATGATCGTAAAAACGTGAATGGATTCCAGATGCAATCCATGTGGGCATGCTCGGTGGTACTAACTATGCATCTTCAGCTTAAAAGAACATGCGGCTGCTCATTTTCATCAAAACATGACTTCGAACTACCATGAATAAAACACACATGGGACAATTAAATCTTTTTCTTACAATAATTATGTTTACATTAAAAAGTCACCATCATCTTCAGATAATATCGAAAAGTAGGACTCTAAATCTTATTCTCTCCCAGTCTTAGTTAACAATTTTGCACAGGCCCGATAATCCAAAACTTGGAGCTCTGGTCTACACAACTTGGCAGGTTTCACACAGTTTGACAGGTAGGCAATTGTGATCTATGCTTTTTTAAAATTAGCATTTTCTATCAAAACAGTCTGAAATCGTTTAAAATCCTCACAGAGACTGTATTTGTGCAATGCCACAGACACACAGCTAGAAAGGGGAAAACAAAGTACAGTCTGGAAGATTCATCACAGTCCAAGTTTTCTTGGTCCTCAGTTTAAACAACCACGAGCCCAGGAAATCCAATTAAATACAGTGCTTTAAATAGAAGACTTGGTCCTAGAATAACTTAGGCGACTAGACAGGGACGGTCTCCACCACGGGTGATTTGATGCACTCTTCGTGCAGTCTGCTCTTTTCTGCAAGGCTCAAAGGATTTTCAGCAGAATGCTCTGAAATGTGGCTGCCATTCAATGTAGAGACAAACCCCTCCTGGGAGGGGCCTTTCAAGTATGAGTGAAATTCCATTTGAGGGTGATTGGACCTGTGTTCAGGATATAAGCTATTGCAGGCCACACCGCTGTCATTTTCCGAGGATGAGCAGCAAACGATGACAGAGGGGTTGGCAGCTGGGTAGTGGGAGGAGCCGTAGGCCTCTTCTGCGTGTCGGGCGTAGTCAACGAACTGCTCTGGGGTCATGGTGTAAGGCACCAGCGAGAGGGTACCATTTTTGACAGTGTCTCTTTCAGCATAGTTCTCAGAGATCTGGTTAGGAGTTCCTGGAATGTGGCTATCTATTTGGTAATACAGAGTTGAAGAGTTGGCATAAAAAGAAGCATTTTTCGCGTGGCTTTCGTGCACGGCGGTGCCATCAGAATAACACAGGACGGAAGGGAGAGGGACCACTTCAGCATGGGTACCCAAACCTTCCATGAAACTGTCTCCTTTCTCCTCCTCCTCCTCCTCCTCTTCCTCCTCCTCTTCCTCTTCCTCCTCCTCATCGGACTCGCTGGGTGCCAAGCTCTGTGTACTGGAATCGGTGACCCCGCTGCAGAAGCTGCTCCCATCCTCCTCCTCCTCCTCCTCCTCCTCCTCCTCCTCTCCTTGGCAATCTAATTCCTCAGCGGACTGCAAGTGCAGTACTGCAGCCTGGGGGTCAGTTTCAATCTCAAAATTGTCTGTGATAGAATATTCTACGGAGTGAGCCACAGGGCCCATGGAACTACTGTGAGCACTTATCTCCCCATGGCAGCCGTTCAGCGTGGGGAGCTGCTGCTCTCGGTTTTTCTCCAGTTCGAGTTTCATGATTGTGTGCAAAAAGTGAGTCCGGACACGGATAGGATTAAATTCAATTCTACCTGCTGTGTTACTACATCCTTCTTTAGTGCAGCCACACGGGAAAGACATTCGATCCACCTTGGAAGGAAGGACACAGATTAGCCCCATGGAACTCTTACAAACCAAATACAAGTCCAGTACCTTCCAACGACCCCTCTGAATCTGCGATTACTTAATTCCACTTTGGCTAGACCAAAGGACAATCAAATTGCAAACAGAAATGAAAAGGGAAATGGAGGCTTAAAACATAAGCATCAACTCAGTTTTAAAACCTCCCTTTAAAATAAAAGTGAGTTACAGTATTATACTGAAAATATACTGCATATTTTGAGTTTGCTGACCCCTCCTTGTGCTTTTTCTACTTCTTCCTCCATTCTTCCTTTTTTCCTTCTCTTCATCCCATTCTCTCTGCTCCCTTTCTAAAAATGTTTCTGTCCTTTCCCCAAGATCCCTTTCCTTGCATGCCAGCTCATGCGTCCAATTTTAAACAAACTTGCCACCCTCATCTCCACCTGCTATTTTTTAATCTAAATTTTATGACATTCCCCATATTAATCATCTATTTTTTTCTTGGCTTATTATAAGATGAACTTCTCTGTACAAGGTGTCCAGATTGACACCACTCAGTATATTGTGTAGCCTGATGATTTGTTCCCATTGGTTTGCCTCTGTGCTCGGAGCATGTATGCTGACTGCAGGGCTGCAATGGATATGCACATTCATGACTTTGACTGGTGGAACCCTGTGCTTAGGTCCTGGCTCCCTCCTTCCCCACTCGACTCCAGTAGACTACAAGTTCCTCAAGTAAAGGGGATGCTCATTCCATCAATATCTTAAAATCATTCAAGTGATTGGATTCTGTGGATAGAGTAGTGGGTTTCGGCAAGTGTTGTTGGACTGAATGCTTAAATAAGTGATATGTGGAATTCTCGGCAATCCAAGGGTACTCCTAAGATATTTGCTAATTGTCCCAGATTCCTCCAATTAGCCTATATGCAGACCAGAGCACAGGCCACCAGAAAGAACTTGCCCTGTTAGCACCTTATCCAAATGTGGGGAATTTCCTATGCAACAGAGGAGAAAGCAGACTCTCATGCAGTCATCTGGGCCCAATAAAAATTAGTAGCAGATGTCAGAACCAGAATCGACAGCTGCTTTCTTACTCATTAATCCCTTTTCTGTGAATCTACCTCAAACAACTATTCAGCTGATGAGAACTATTCTCTCCTTCTGACTGTCTAAGGAGCTCTCCTTATTAAAAAAGCCAAGTTTCTGCCTAAAATAATGACACCTAACTAATCATGGAGCATCCGTGCTGTTATAGATGAATGGGGACCTGAGAATCATCTAATCCAGGGGTTGGCAAACTTTTTTTGGTAAAGGATCCAAGAGGAAATACTTTGGGCTTTATGGGTCATAGGTCTCTGTGGCAACGAGTTGGCTCTGCTGTGGAAGGGTGAAAGCTGTCACAGACAACACACACACTGTGTGTCCACAAAACTTTATTTACAAAAAAAACAGGCGACAGTCCAGATTGGGCCTGTGAGTTATAGAGTTTGCCAACACCTGATCAAATTCAGCCCTTTCACTTTAGAGGTGGGGAGACTGAGCCCAGAAAGTCGACCTGACCTGCCAATTTCACGTAACGGGCAACAAGCAGAGCCAGGAGTAGGACTCAGTTTTCTCCTTGTCCGTCTAGTGATTTTTCCACTCGTCTATACCACCTCTCCCCAGTCATCATTTTAAACCCCTGGATGGATCCGAAAATAGACACTCAAATATTAGGGAAGTGATGATCTGCCTGAATGCTTGTAAAAAGCCAAAGTAAACTAGTCTAATCAACGGATCCAAGAGCAAATAATGTCAGTTAACTCAGCTACAGCTTGGGTTGCCTTTCATAAAGGCAATAAAGATGCACAGCATTGCGCGACTGGGGTTATATCTGAGATGATGAGCATGTTATGTGTGCCCATACATGTCCTTGGATGGGGATTTCTTCTTTTCTTGGATCAGGTGTCTTGCCTCACCCAACGTTTTCTTCCACCCGTGGGAAACTTCATTACATGGAACACGACTGTCTCTTTAGGGGGTGGTGTGTTACCCCCGACTTTGGATTCCCCGAGATGCAAATCCTTACCTGACACTTAATGCCTGCCAGGCTGCAGGTGCAGGTTTCCGGGTCACAGAACACGCGGCAGTCACAGCCGCAGTCCTCGCGCGACAGGCGGATGGCTCGCAGCTCGTGTTTTTCCTCCACATCGATCTTTTTCACGCCGGACGCCCGCAGCAGTGCTCGTCGCTTTTTTGTTGGCAGGGGTTGTAGGAAGAAGTATTCGTCTACCTCTGTGTTGTCTAAATCAATATCATCATCAGAGATGTCATCCACGGTCAGAGTGCTAGCTTCTTCAGACTCCACGGTGCCGTTCTTCGTCATCTAGAAACACAACGCAGCAAATAAGAGACCGCGAGGGCAGAGGCTACAATCCTAACTTCCACAGTTCAGAACAATGAAACTACTCCATCGCATCAGGTCCCCATAATCAATAAGTGTTTGTGGGTCCAATCACTTCCATTTATTTTCCTCTTTAGAGAAGTCACAGGGAGGAAAATGAAGGCATCAAAATGACAGGCTTTTAAATGCACAGAGGACTGTTAATTGGGTCTCTTAACCTCCTAATGTGAGAGCTAGAGTTGTTAGAGCTTTTAGCCAGGGCAATGTGAAAAGGACCAAAGGTTACAGATGCCCATCAATGAAAGCTATCTTTAGACTTGGTTCGTGATGGGCGGCTCTGAAGTTGGAATAAATTCACCCTTGTTCAGAGATGGTAACACCTTCGTGGGAGCCATTGCCACCAAAGTCAGCAAACACGCTGTCCTTGAAATGACCACCCTGTCTTTGGGAGTCCAGCAACAGCACGTACGAGGCAATAAACACGTGCAGCACTGCGCTACTGAAATTAGGAATGCGGTTACCCTACAGAGCATTCCAACAATGAGCCCTTGATATGAAGCAATCAGTCGGGTCGTTGTGACCGCAGTAAGACAAGGAGCAGAGGGCAGTGCTGGCAGGAGCTGGCCAGTGGGCACTGAGACAATAACCTCGCCCTCAAAGGAGGTCCCACGAACCTGTGCCCAAAGCAAGCGCTTCCTCATTACAGCCCCTGTGGACAACTGTCTCCTCTCCCCAGAACTGTTCTGCTGCTATTTATGTTTCTTCTCTAATGAATTCCATCTATCAGTAAGCCCTGTATCAGTATTTCACTTCTGACTGTTCTACCACCACATATTGTTTCCTTCTTAAAAAAGCATTTAGAAAGAGACGTTTTCTCTGATTATGAGCAAAAATGTATTCTGAGGGGTAGCACAGGAATACATGCCAAAGCTCTGTAAGGGATTATTCAAAAAAAGTTTTAAATATGGAAGCTTTTTTGATGCTTTAATTTTAAAATTTATTCATAAATGTCACTAATTGTAATCATTACCATGCTATTTGATCTTAACAATGGCTCAATCATGACACAGTTAAAATGCTCTGGTGACATCAAACATCAGTCTCTCAACTTCATAGAAAAGGTCCGACATTTAGATTAGAATATTAATTACTGACCCCAAATACTAAACTGGATTACTCTGAATGTACTGGAAAATGAATAGAAGACTGGTCTTTGCCCTCAAGTAGAGGAAACAATACAGTAGCAAGTGTATATTAAAATGTATTTCAAAGGGTCCCTGAAATGCATTAAAAAAAAAAAAAAACTACTACTACATTGTACTTTTTGAATATTTTAGAACTTAAATCTATTTTCTTGCAAAGGTGTGCATTCCTTTTCATTGGGTTTTGTTTCTTGGCATGATCTGCAATTTTTTCCTTCCTTGGCATTTCTTTATAAAGGTATTGGTTCAGCCATTTTCATGCTTCCGGATGTCCACTATTAGGATGTTATTTTGAGTGGTTTCTGTTACCGTTTGTGTTAATTCTTATTTGCAAACAGAAGCATCTTTCTATCTGTAAAGATCTGATTTGCTAAGGAATTCAAGTGTGTAATTGCCTACCATCTACTCAATTCTCTGTGATAGGAAAAGCTGCATTACCACACAGGAAGAGTTACCTTCCTCATCTTGTCACCTCTGTGGCACTTAGATTTGTTTCCATTGATTCTTGCCTTGCCTAAGTGAACCTCATCAAACTTCTGACTCCACGGCACATGAATACCAGAAATATTCTGGAAGAACATATTCCTTTTTTTTTTTTTTTCAAAATGCTTGTTTTTTGTTTTGTTTTTAATTTTATTTTATTGTTTAAAGTATTACAAATAGTAGTACACGTGTCCTCCCAAGCCTGGAGTACTGATCTGGCCCCTGCAAGTGGCGCTGATTTAGACGCCCATGGTGGCCCTCCGGCAGCCTCACAAGCGCAAAGAACATATTCTTAAAGGTATTGCATTTGCTTGGGGCTGAAGGCCAGCCTCCCGGTCTCCATCTCTTTGGTTAGACATATTTTCTCTGTACTTGTCAAAACAGGTTGTGCATATGACATGGCAAGTGTTTGGAATATTAAAGTTTTCCGTTTGGTGTTGGAGCAGGCCTCCATTTGGGGATGTATTCCGGGGAGGCAAAGCAGGAAGAATGCCCTTGAGTAATCTCTGTAGTGCAGGGGTCCTCAAACTACGGCCCGAGGGCCACATGCAAATACAAATATTGTATTTGTTCCCATTTTGTTTTTTTACTTCAAAATAAGATATGTGCAGTGTGCATAGGAATTTGTTCATAGTTTTGTTTTTTGTTTTTAACTATAGTCCGGCCCTCCAACGGTCTGAGGGACAGTGAACTGGCCCCCTGTTTAAAAAGTTTGAGGATCCCTGCGTAGTGTTTAACAGTGAAGTTCGGTAGGGATAAGTGGAGTTAAAAAAACACCAAGGTATTAGAGAAAACTGAGAAAAGTGTATAACTGTGGGAAGACATTGGAAATGGTAGCAGAGGGGAGATAGGCCTAATCTCAGGAAGAAGAGGAAGAACAATCAAGGTTGAAAAAAACATTGAGAAAAAGAGGCCAGTCAAAGCTGTGAAAGCTAAATTAAATTTCCTAGAACAAGGTAGTAGAATCCAGTAAGATATAACCTAGAGGCAACTGGAAATGCCAAGGCTCTTTGAAATGTTCAAATGGCTGCCTAATGCATTTTACAGATACATGTGAAATGGGAATAAAGGCTAATGTAATTGTTCAACAGTGTGGTGCTGATGATGAAATCTAAGCACTTAATTTGGAAAAGAGTATAGTATCAAGATGACTGCATTGATTACTGTGAAGAGTATGACATGTTTGAATGCGCTTGACAGAGAAAAAGAACTGTGCTCTGTAATTTAGAAATCTAAAGGTAGTTATTTCTTCTGGGACCATGCATTTTATTCAATCAGCTTTCTCTATTAATTGTTTTTAGACAATGTTTGGAACATCAACAACAAAAAGGACACACTTGAACCCTTAAAATAAAATTGTTTTTTTTCTACAAATCTAATTATACGTATTATTACTCAATATATCTATGTCATAATTTGATTGAGATGAATTACTAAATTAGAAGAAATTTTATAATGAAAAACGAATCTCTATTCTTAATTTGTCCTCAACATATTTATTATAAGGAAGCAATAAGAAATGTGGATGTTTCTTTTCACTACTTCTCCACTATGAAGGCCCCACTGGAAGAGGTGCTATGGAATACGCTGGGTTGGAGGCACAGAGGAAAGAGAAAATGTCTCTTTACTGCTTTGGGGCTGTTGGTTCTCCAGTAAGTAGGAAGGAAACTGCCCGGTTCCAAGTCAAGTGGGTTTCCTGTGGTGCATATCTGGTCTCCGTAGTGAGAGCTTTGGAAAGTGTTTGTCTTGTCAGATGCTGCCTTCTCTCTGCTTTACTCAACAGGCAGTTCACTGCCTCTCACAGAGGACCACCTCCAGGCAAAACCAAAGTGGCAAAGTTTGTTTGCCGCAATCCTGGCTTTCTTCTTTGGACCCTTTCTGTGCCGTAAACCTTCCTGCTGCCTCAATGAAAATAATAAAATCACTTTAGCTACATTTGTTTTGCTACTTACCTCAGAGGGATTTTTATTTCAAAACAAATGTTGCTAATATTAAAGGTAAAATTTCAAGTATCAGAGAGAAATTTTTGGACAGTTAATGTGTTTTTTTTCCCCAGTTAATGTTTTTCAATAGGTAATTTTAGATTTTGAATAGGTAAACCTTATCCCAATAGAGTCAGTGATATGTCAAAAACCATAAACGTTAAAATGCTAGAGGAATCACAATGAAAATATACAAGCTTTCCTCCATTAATTCTCCTCAGTTGTTTTCGGTTTTTGTTTTTTTTTAGCAAGCTGGTCCACATTGCTGTGATCTCTTATTAGGTTCATGTGATCATGTGATGTGTGTTTCTGAGCTTCTGAACACTTTCCGTGTAGTGAGGCTAAAATCAGGCCATCTTAGCATCCCATTATCGCTTTTGCTTGGTATTCATTTGGAAGAAGCTATGCTACCCAAATGATTTTTGTTTACATCTTCACCAAAAGAAAAGGCTGCATGTTTTCACCTCTCTGCTTATCAATGACAAGCCAAGACTTGCCACCTACTCAGATGATTGCCTCTCCAACTTCCAACACAAAGCACAATGAATAAAGTGAATCAATAATAGAATGCTCTTTTTGTTTCTTTTCTTCTTCAGCTTGTTAAAAAAAGGCATAGAAGTAGCTGAATACAAATGACAGGGTCAGAATATATCACTGCCTGATGTGGAGGAAGGTTCCTGTAGTTGTGTGGCTCCCCCTGATATCCATCACATGCACAATCTGCTTCAAAGTTCACAATAAATCTTCTGGTTTTCAGATAAAATTATAGCTCCCCAGCTGTTAAAAACCACTGCACACAGTACTAAACCTCAGAAAGAGACGGCTCCCTATAGGTACACAGATTGTCTTTCCCAAGGTCTATAGGGCATAATCAATTAATTTTAGAAGAGGAAGTAACAAGATCATATGACCAGTTTCCTGCCGAGTGAGCCAGCTATATCACATCTTGGTGGTGCTTCTTCTTTAGTTGTACACACGGTCTCATAATTTACCTATTCCATTGGGTCTTTGTTAATATTAACGTAAGTAATGTTTATAAAATGTCTGACAAATAAAAAGCACTGAATGAATGGCAACCATTACTACTGAGTTTGAAGAATGACTTCACTCTTTTGAGTAGGATGTAGAGTCGATTTGTAGTGGGTTAGAAAGGCAGAGGGTGGATTTCACCAGCAAATCTGCAAATTATTATTAAGTTAAACAACATGCAAAGCAGTCACGAACAACAATAACAATAATGGATTGCCACCAAAAAATCTTAAGGGACATTTAATGAAAGATGGCAAAAGCACCTCCAAAGGAAATATGAAACATGCTCTATGCTGACTGTGTCCAGCTTAATTTAAGTACCTGCCTTCTTGTGCAGTTGGTAGCAAAGCACATATATAAATAGCAAAATGCATAGAAACAAGGGATTTGGAAACACACATCATATCTCTGCCAACTTTATACTAGAAACTAAAAACTAAAGATACAGGTAATAATGATATGCTTATGGTGCTTCAGCTATTTCATGCATAACACTTTATGTTAAGTACTCTGGATTACCTGGATTTTTTTTTTTTTTGTCATTAGATAATGGTGGGAGAGCATTTCATATATATTGGTAGGTTGATGAATCATTGCAGATATAAAAAGAGCCTCTGGTCGATGAAAGAAGTTTTCTGAGCTGTGTTTCTCTCCAGTTAATCTCTAATGTGGCAGAACAATGGGTATCTCCACCTGGACACCTCACTGACATGTCTTAAAGAACTCAAAGCCTCTGAAAATTAGTATGTCCAAAAAATATCTCATTATTTACACCCCCCCTACACACCCAGCCCCAATCTGTACCTCTTCCTGGATTCCTTGTCATATCCTTGTCATAGAGGAAGATATTATCACCCACAACTTACTAACTTTTGTAAGCCAGAAATTCAGGAGTCGTTCTTTTCCTTCCAAATCCACCCATTATCAAGGACTGTTGATTTTACTCCATAAATTTCTCCCTCTGTCTATCTCTTTTCATCTTCCTTACAATCAATCTAATCTAGCTCACCATCATCTTTCTCCTGGACTGTTGCAATAGCCTCTTACCTGGTCTAACTCCACATACCACAACCCCCTCACATGGCTGTCCCATCCCCTACCCCCCAAATACTCTCACATCAGAGCATGACCAGATCACACTACCCCACCAACCCAAACCCATGCTGGGAACTGCTGGATGACTTCTGATGCCTTAGGATGAAGAGAGGAAGGAAAAATCTCTAACAGGGTCTACAAGGCCCTGTCCCAACTCCTTCATGTCACTCTACTCTTCCTGTCCCTGCTGTAGCCACACCCGTCTCTGTGTGCTCACCCAGCTTCTTCCTGCCACAGGGCAGCTCCGGGCCTTCCTGCTGCCTGAGCCAATGTTGCCACCCCTTTCACCTAGTTATCTGCTCAGATTTCAGTTCAGTTGTCATTCCCTTGAAGAAACCTTCTGTGACCTTCAGATCATAATTCTCTATTATGTACTTTTACAGCACCTTGCAACTCTCCTTCATAGCACTTAATACAGCTGTGACTCTATTTTGTCTACATGATTAATATTTTCCTTTCCTATTAATATATTAATATGTAAGTTCCAGGAGAAAAGGGACCATATCTACTTTTGATACCAGTTAGCCCCAGCCAAAACACAGGGTCTATGATCTAGAATTACTCAATAATACACCTTTTCAAAGTGTATTTTTCTAAATAAACCTTTTCAAAAAAAGGTTTCATTATATCTCACTACCAATTTTACACACACACACATTGAGCATCCCTACCCTCCTTGCCCTCAGGGGCAGATTTCTGAAGCACCATTTTCCCTTCTATTCTTAAGCCCAGAGTTTGAAGCCCAGAGAGGGATCAGCCTTCCCCTAAGCTCACACAGCGAGGGAGGGAGATGGATGGAGGAAGGGGACCTAGATGGGCAGGCAGCCCTGCACTGTCTCCTTGGAATCCTAAGGAGTCTGGGCCCCGGTTGCGGTTGTGGGGGAGAACTGCTCCTCACTTCTGGGCCAGTAGATGCCTTCCACCTGGTGCTTCTCCCACAGTTCCCGCACCTGCAGCAGCAGCCCCACGGCCAGAAGCAGGGCAGCCAAGGGGGAGAAGACCACGGTGACAGCAGCGGTGGCCTCCCTATAGAATGAATTATGCATAAACAACATCAGGTAAATTTTCCACATTACTTCATTACTTTCAGCGAAGACACTATACCGTTTTTTTGCTTTTAAAAAACAAACAAACAAACAAACAAAAAAACAGCCGTAGCAGACAGTCTGTTGTACAAAATGCCCAGATTGGCCTGTGGATATAAATATGAAAATGCTTAACTCAACTAAATCGAAGAAAAGACACGGGGTTTTGCAAAAAGTGAGTTTCAAATGCTGTTTACCTTTAGTTTTAAAGAGTTCAGTTTTTCCTCCCTGAGGTGTTCTCTTAACATCTCCCGGTGGATCCGCTCCTGCTCCCGGGCGAATTCGCCCAGCGTGTACTGGCGCACGCTGTTGTGGCGGCTGGACATGCCCAGCGTGCTGCCCCCTTGGCTGGGCACGCTGGTGAAGCCCTGCCTCCTGGTGAAGTAGTACACGGTGACGCAGCTGAAATGCACATTCTTCGTCCGCAGCCGCTTCTCCCTTTTGAGGATGGAGGAAGCTGAAAGAGAAAAGAGCAAGACAGTGAACACTTGGGGCAGCAGTTTTAGATGAGGCCAAGAATTAGAAGCTGTCACCTGAATCTTTTGGTCAATCTTTTTTGGAGGGGAGACACAAAAAAGGTCATATCTCAGTATTAGCGCCTATTTCTATGTCCTTTCTTTAATCTTTCTCTAGCTGTGGTGGAGTAGACTTTTAAGTTCCATAAATAGCAGTAGTCTAAACAAAACTTTAGAAAGTTGCCAATAGTCTGTGAATCTGTAGCAGAATTTAATTTTTCACTTCCCCAAACCTCTGAGGTTTCTGTTTTATGGTTTTCACATGAGTTGCATCAGACTTTAATCAGAAAAGACATACTACAAACCTTCACACTTTGGGTCTCATTTTGATACAGAGGGCATTTCTGCTGTTCTAAGTCCCTTGGCATAAAAATATGTCTACTTAAAAATTTCAGAAAATTCTAAAAAGCAATAAAAATCCACAAAAAAGGCTCACTGGCAGTATTTAGGTATTTTTATAATAAAAATTTAACAAAGCTTTTATTTGATATGACTTTCACTAAATAGCATTATGGACAGGGGATTTTAATCTAAGTGTATGCTGAGACCATTGAAAATGCCATGAGACATTTTATTATTAGTTACTAGAGGCCTGGTGCACGAAATTTGTGCATTGCAGGGAAGAGGGTGGTGGGGAGGGTGAGATCCCTCAGCCAGGTCTGTGACCTCTTGCAGTCCAGGAGCCCTCGGGGGATGTCCCTCAGTAGGACAAACAGTGAGCCCAGCTTCTGGCTGAGCGGTGCCCCCCTGTGGGAGCACACTGACCACCAGGAGGCAGCTCCTGCGTTGAGCATCTGCCCCCTGGTGGTCAGTGTGCATCACAGCGACCCATCATTCCACAGTTCGGTTGATTTGCATATTAGCCCTTTATTATATAGGATAGGGACTCAAGATGCACAGAGCATCATGGAGGGTTGAGACACATAATGTAGTCGACAGAAAGAAAGTCACATTCTAATCAGGACCTTTTAGAGTTGAAAGACATGCTAGACATCATCTAGCCCATTCTTTTTATTTTATAGTGAAGTGACTCAGGTTTGCAGAATTTGAGTGGCTTCTTTAAGTGTAGACAGTTAGTCGCAAAACTAATCTTAAACCCAAAAGCACCGGGTCTGTTGCTATATTATATGACATTTCTCCATTGGGTAAGGAAAGGTACAATGAATTGAAGAGACAGATATAGGATAACGCTGCTATGGATTAAACTGTGCCTCCTCACGCCCAAAATATATTGAAGTTCTCACTCTCAATACCCTGGATGTAACCTTATTAAGGAATAGTGTCATTATAGATGTGATCATGTTACGGTAAGGTCTTTAGGGCGGGTCTTAATCCAATATGACTGTGTCCACATAAAAAAGGGAACAATTGGGCACAGGCATGCACAGAGGGGTGATGTACAGACACAGGGAGAAGCCCACATGAAGATGGAGAAAGATGGAGATTTTGCTGCCAAAGCCAAGGAATGCTTGGGGCCACCAGAAACCGGAAAAGGCCAAGAAAGGCCGTTCCCCTGCAGCTGTCAGAGGAGCATGGCCTGCCAGCACCTTGACTTTGATCTTCTAGTCTCCAGAACTGTGAGGCAGGAAACTTCTGTTCTAAGCCACTGAGTTGGTGACATTTTTTTTTTTTACAGCAGCTTTAGGAAACTAACACACATGCTGAAGTAGAACGACACACAGGAAGAAACAATGCACTGAGAATAAATCCTTGAATAGCAAAAATTAATAAAAACTAACATTTGCGAAGTGCTTCCTAAGTTCTGTATTATGCAAAGAACTTTACATGAATTATTTTATCTTGACAACTCCTTGGGTTGATATTGCCCTTGTCTCCGTCTCCATTTTGAGGAAACCAAGTCATCAAAAGTTACATACATAACATGGCCAAGGTGATACAACCGGTGGTGAAGCTGGGATTCATTATTCCTGAGCCCAGGGTTTTAAGCATCATGTCGCAGCCAGAGCTGAAGTCACCCAGGAAGTTGCACAAGGCTGAGAGATGTCAACTGCTACTGTCCTCCAAGATGATTTTAATTTGGAAGGCTGCATAAGCAATGTAAAAGAAAGACTACAGTATCACTTTGGATTTATATAGAATCTTCTTCCATGTGGGTTCAAGTTTTTTTGTGTGTGTCTTGGTCCCCACCTCACTCAGTAACATATTTAAGCCAAATATAAAGAGGATGCTATGATTAACCTCATTTCATAGATTTATGTATTCAATAGGTATTAACCAAGGACCTAGTATGTACAAGGAAACACTCTAGATGATTGGATACATTGGTGAATAAACCAGATGGTGATCCCTGACTGTGAAGCTTTCATTTTCAGTGATGAGCTCAGACAGAATGAACAGATTCAGAAGAATATAGAGTATGAGAAATAGGACATGTGGGCAAGAATTTAGCTTCCCCAACCTCCCCTCTTCCCTACTGTTATACTTCTCCAAAGGAGATTGCCAGAAAGCAAATGCTTTCAAACGTGCACATAATTTCCACATTTATTTATGTGTATGCTCACTGCAACATATACTCCTGGCTGCAGAGACAATTTTCAGCTTTGATTTAAAAGCTCTGATCTGCTTCATAACCGTATGTTTAAATCACCTCAAAAAAGAGAAGCATTTGTAAAAATGTAAAAGATCACCATAGAAAGCAGAATTCAACAATCTGCCTGGTGATCTGACAACCTCATCTGTCACCCCTTACAGCAGGCTAGAGCTTCTGATTTTGGGGTGATAATCTTCAACCTTTTTCACCCTTGATATCATAAAAATGATGCCCTTAAATCATTATCATTTAAGGTCATACATTTATAGGTAAGAAAAAATATTAATGTAGTAATTTAAGATAATTATTATAAGCACCTCTGACAACTTTATTACTTGTTTCTTCTTAGACAATTCTGGTACTCTAGACCAATTTCCTTCTTAAAAATTTATTTAGATCGTAAATCTGTATTTTTAGATTATAAGAAGAACTCTTCAATCTTCTCCATGAATATATTGTACCACCATTTCCTAAAAAAACAGATAATCCTTTCCAGAAAGCCAGTCCAGAAAGGACTTTCTAACAGAGAGCAGGGTCCCTTCACCTGGGTTCTTGGCATCACTAGCATTGTCAGATTGTGCTAGGATTCGTGATGCTTCTGTCCCACAAGCCTTCACAAGTCAAACCTGTGCATATGGTTGTTTTAGCATTTGCATATTATAAAAAGCACTGAGAAAAGAATGATTGGAACGCCTACAAAGTATATTTAAAAGGAAGGCTTTGAAATACTATAAGATCAGCTGTATGAGGGATGTTTTAAGTGTGGGTTTCCTGAACTTAGGAGCCACCCGCGTCTCTTATGATTGCATCGGAGCACTAGCATGGGCTTTCATGGGCTATCTCCTGCCTCCAGGCCCCAGTTTGACTAACATCACAAAATGAAGTCATAAAAAAAGAGTCTGTTTTTCAAGCCTGGGAAAAAACAGACAAATTCACTCAACACATCTGCCTTAGGGAATCTAAAACCTCCCTGATATACCTACCTAGTAATTTGTGCCCTTTGCAGAATGCCTGAACTCAGCTTTGTGTCACTACAGAGTTTTGTGTTCAGTTTACTACTGTGAGGTCAAGAGCAAGAAAAAGGCAGGAAAAGCTGTCTTTCATTACTGTTTTAAAAAGAATTAGTCTGTTTTCATGCACAATACTAATTTTTTGGTGTCTTTCAGCTCCTTTTCTTTTATTCCATTTACAATTAACTCCCGCCCAATCCCCCTTACCCCCACCTCCCAAAGCAGAAGTGTCTGAATGCAACAATACTGCACATGCTGCCTAGGACACAGCTCTTGGGAACACCACTATGGTAACCACATCATAATGTGCATATTGGTGTTACTATAAAATGATCACATATTATGGAGATAATGTTGATTTCTATAAATTAAAGAAATAAACAGCTCAGGGAGAATGATATTAGCTATCAGCAGGTTATTCTTCCTAAAAAATGCTTTAGAAATGAATGGTAAATAAAAACGAGAAAGCCACTCATTCACAATGCCAGGGTAAGAATTTAATTAGATAAAGTAAAATAAACTGTATCACAAAATATATAATTAGTTCATGGGCAGAGTGGATTAAAAATGGCAGTCAAAACTACATTTGGGGAAGTGTGTTTCCAGGGTGAGACAGTATTCCGATAAGACCAATATTCTGGATATTCTGATCCCACAGAGGAGTTGAATATATCAGGTATCAGAGTTGAATCACATCAGTCTCTAAGAAAATTCAACTGACTTTGCTTAATTTCCACACTCATAAACCAACCTGTTCATATAAATTGGGATACACCTTCAAGACTAATGAGTTGACACATCAATTTTGTTTCTTACTGCAAATGACTTGTTTCAAATTTATACTTTAGCCATTAGTGAATGTGATTAGCGCATACCACGCCATCTGAAATTGCCTTCTCTGCAAGCACAGAGACCATCATACGGAGACAGAGGGAAGCTGGATAGACAGGGATAGGAACCATGATGGGGGGTGGGAAATAGAACCGGGAAACCCAGCTGGGCAGGGAAGGAAGGGCACACACAGCAGACAAACTTTAAAATGTATGGATGTTGCTAAGACAGGCAGCTTGCAAATAACCAATCACAAGGCAGCGAGGTGTATAAACCAATCCCAAGGATGTGGCTAAGGCAGAATTCTTTGACAGGACCAATCAGGAACTAGCAAGATATGCATCTGCCCCTAGATTTAAAAGTGCACATGCTTCCTCTCTCCTCTCTGCTCTCTCTGCTGTGCTAGATTCTTGGGTTGATGGCAGGGTTGATGGCTCCCCTGCACCCATGTGGTTTATGGCCATGTGGGACTCTACACATAGACTAATGAGACTTTAACACCTGACTGTAACATGGGAAGAAAGCTCTGAACACACTGGCCTGCTCCTAG